CCCGTAGCAACGCACGGGCGTTCTACTAGTTATAGTAGAATGCGAACATACACTATTATATGCTTATTTTTGCATAATTCAAAAAGTGCAATTTCATTGCAAATTGTGTGCAAGTTGTGCTCTTTCATTTCCTTTCTTCTTAAAGGGTTTCATTCTTTCTTGGAATTCATTAGTTTGATTTTGTTTTAGTTATTTTTCTGAAAGGGCCATACCAATGCCACGAATTCATTCTTTCATAGAAAAAATCCATATGTTTTTTTAGTTTTCATTGTATTTTTTGATTTTGTTTTAGTTTTCATTTATTTTCTTGTGTAAGGGTAATATCAATGTTACTAATCCATTACTTTTGAGAAAGCACTTTTTGGTCGAAATATCTCTATAGTATGCTCAGTTTTGCATAGTAATTATACATTTTCCAAATATATGTATGTGTACGTAAACTTTGTGCAAAATTTTTAATTTTTTTCATTTTCATTCTTCTTAATTGGTAGAATCAATGCTAATAATTTATTCATTCTTACCAGACTTCATTATTTTGATTTTTTAATTTTTTATTTCATTTTCTTTCTTCTTGAAGGGTAATCCTGGTGTCACTAATTCATTCTATTTCAGAGAAATTAATTATTTTGATCTTATAATCTTATTCTTGCATATTATAAAAAAGCACAATTTATGTGTAAATTATATGCAAGTTTTTTATTATTTATTTTTTTGCAGTGCATTTCACAAGTGAGGTCTTTGATCATCGTTAAAGGGTAATATTAAATCAGTAAAATTAAGAAAATGGAAGTCAATTTTGTTTGTTTTTCTTTTTTCATTTGTGGCATATATTCTTTAAAAAAATGTGAAATAATGCATGTCAGTGTAATTAAAAAAAGCTGAAACTGTGTTTCTTACGTCAAACACAACCTGCACTCTTGATCTAATGCATCGCTTGATGAGTTGCAGTCATGTCCCTTTTGCAGGAAAAACACTGGTGTCCGTTGGACAAACCTTGTGTTCAAAGTTGAAACACATCCGAAAACTGACAAATTCATGGAAACCACAATGAAAACTAATACCTTATATGAAACAAAAACAAAAAGAATCTCAGGCATACATACAAATTCAACTAACTTATAGCAGAATGAAAGGGACGATATTTTTATCTTCTTCGAAAAGGTGGTATCCCCATCGATCCTTTGCATCAATTGTTTCGTTGCACATAACCATATATACTTCATGCGAACAAATGTTTATCGATCCTTTGCATCAATTGTTTCGTTGCACAAGTGAGGTCTTTGATCATCGTTAAAGGGCAATATTAAATCAGTAAAATTAGGAAAATGGAAGTCAATTTTTTACATTTTTATTTTTTTTATTTATGGCGTCTATTCTTTAAAAAATGTGAAATAATGCATGTCAGTGTAACCAAAAAACGCTGAAAACTGTGTTTCTTACGTCTAACACAAACCAGCACTAGCTCGCTTGCGTGCATGCACTGCTCACCTGTATTCCCAGTCGCATGCATGCGTTTAGAGCATCTCCAACTGCCGCACAAAAATATTGCACCCAATAAAAGTTATAGTGCGCCACAGTAGCACTTTTAAAGCGTCGGGACCAACATTGCTTTAGCAAACGCCTAAAAACACGCGCCCAAAAAACACACAGTGCAAATTGTGAAGCGCGCGCAATCCGGAGCCCAAAATATGCTGCGCGCGATAGCATTTTTCAGCGCGCGTCCAAAAACTTTTAGCGCTACAGCTTCTGCAGGAGCTATGTGGCGCGCAACATTTTAGTGCACGGAGCTCTTTTTAGGCGCCTGCTGGAGATGCTTTTAATAGTGGCCTCACTTGAGTGGCAGCCGAATTGGGCAAGTAGAGTAGTTAGCCGACTTTAAAAAAAGTTACTGGCCCAAATTGGAAATTCAGTCAGCCGGTCCCGCAAGGAAGAACATCCCTTGGGAATATGTGCTGGGTGTGCACTCGTGCGCGCCCTCATCTCATGCACCAAAACGCGCATACACATGTGTACGTACGTACAATCCATGCCATTGTTTGATCCAATGCATTGCTTGATGAGTAGCTGTCACGCAGTGGCGGCTTCAGGAATTTGCAATTGTGTATTCATGTGTATTCATTTTGCCAAAATCATTGCTGTTTTTTGAAAACTGTCATTCTTTTGCCAAAATCAACACTGTTTTGTAAAAATCATGGGTATTCACATGAAGACCCAAGAATACCCCTAGCGCCGCCCCTGCTGTCATGCCCCTTCTGCAAACATTGGTGTCCATTGGACAAACCTTGTGTCCAAAGTTGAAACACATCCAAAAACTGACAAATTCATGGAAACGATGATGGAAACATAGGAAATACCTTATATGAAACAAAAATAACAAGAATGTCAGGCATATATACAAATTCAACTAACTTGATAGGAAAATGAAAGGGACGATATTTTTATCTTCTTCGAAAAGGGGGTATCCCCATCGATCCTTTGCATCAATTGTTTCGTTGCACATAACCATATATACTTGCTGCAAATAAATGATTTACCGTTCATAGTCTCTGCACAAATCAAGTGCACAAATGGATACAGATTTGTCATCCAGGAAGATAATATTACGCCAGACGCAAAGAACGAGCACTAGCGGAATCCATTACACATACTGTCAAATATCTTGTTGACAGTTGGAAGGGTGTAAAGGGAAGATAGATTATAACCCGAGGCCGATGGGGCTGGATAAGCATGGTAGGGAGACGGAGCCGGAGTCCAGTGAACATTGACAGGTGCGTGCTGAGGCGGTGGGGGGTAGCCAACACAGGCGCTGCTGGAGGCACCTCCTCCTCCTTGTGCCTGATAGTAGGAGCCGTGTTCATAAGTTTGAGCTGGGAGTGGGGCGAAGGTAGGTGCTGCTATGTGATTTGTGCGAACTTGTCTGATGAAATTGAGGTCCGTGATGCAGTCGTTGATCTTTCTATTAACCCCATCTAATTCGGCGGCCTTCCGGCTACGGGAGAATACAGTTACAGTCTGGCAGGACTGGATGAGCGTCAACGCTTCGTCGAGGGTCTCCTTGAGCCTCCTCATCACTGTCTCCGTCTCCTGGTCGTTCGCCGCCGGGTATTTGTAGTCGGGCAGTACGTTGGCCAGAGTGCACGCGCGTTGGGCGAGCTCCCAGCACTTCTTCTTGTTCTGTCGTGCCGTCTCCGCGGCACTTGCGATCAGTTGCACCATCGTTAGAATCATGCCCACCAGGCTCACTGGGTCGACCATCTCGAGGCGATCAATCTAGCACAATTTTAGGTTAGCAAGACCCCGAGGAAGAGGTATAGAACCACGAGAAAGGTGTAACAGCTCCCGGATGCCCCTATGCCCTCATGAACAGTAATTTCGTAAAAAAAAATTGGAACTTTCATAGATCAAAAGATTTGATGTTCTTGCAAAGTTTCAGCAACAAATAACCTTCGTGGAGCCCTCACAAACAAAAACAAAATCACTGCTTAAAATGTAAATAAACTTTGGACAATGATTTTGCTTTTTCAGGTGAGGGCTCCTCGAATGTTATTTTTAACTAAAACTTTCAAGATCATCAAAAGTTTGATCATGTTTGATGTCCCAAAGTTTTAGACTTTTTTTGAATTTGTTTTGAATTTTATGTTCATAAAGGGTGTAGGCCATAGGGGCATCCAGGTGCTGAAAATCTGTCTCATAGATCCACCAACGGAAAGGACAATAAGGAGAAAGACACATACCTCGCTGTGCTCCACGACGGTCGGTGTGGGCGGTCGCCTACCTCGCCGCCGAGGGGTAGTAATCAGCACACTGAACACATATAAATATATATACTCCAACTCAGTAAGACTTCAAACGAGAGATGAAAAGGGAAAAAGAGGGCTAGATCGAGGAGGAACACTGGCCTGCTGGTGACTACTGCTTTCCTTGAATCCCCCTACAGTTCATAGGGAGTGAGTATCATTCATATATAGGGCCGGGTCCTCTGGAGTGCAAGTTGGGCATCATGTCACGTCAAGGGGCGTACGCGTACGCGTACGCGTAATTGCCTCGTGTCTACGACAGAGCAAGTCAGTCGTCTCTCTGCCTGTTTCTAAAATCAACGTTATTCTGAAAATTTGATCACTCCTTGTCATTGTCTATGTAGTTATCCGTCCGTCTACTTAGTGGCCAATGATCTGAAAAAAAGCAAGCCAACTCCCTAGAGCAGCCCATAAATCACGTACGAGAACATAAACCTTGCCAATTCATGCGCTCCTTTCTCCCCAATCCAGACGGACACTTACATATCCTACTGGAACAAGAGTTAGATCAGGTGTTGCCTTGCCACAACAGTGACCTAATGTTAGGTCTCGAGTAATTCACTAAGGCGCAATAGTAACGTTAGTTGGTTCGTTCAAAACCACGACACTTATTATGAATCCGAGGGAGTAATATCTTTTTTATATAACAATGGTCAAACCTAGATGTCATTAGAAATTAGAGGTTTCTGCCTCCCGCCGACGCCGCCGCAGGTCCTCTTCCTCTCCGGTGGTCCTAGGGCCATGGGGGCGCGGTGGATCTCGGCAAGGGCTGGCGGGAGGGCTCCGTTTTTAGTCGTTTCTTTCAGTTTTTCTAGGGTTTGTGTCCTGCTTAGCAAGACGAGAAGGCGACGGCTTCCTGAAGATGGAATAAAGGTCTCCTCGCCTAGCCCCTATTCTGGCGGTGCATCTAGCACCATTTGTGGGCGTGTGGAGGTGTGTCTCCGGCGGATCTATCTTTGGTGGATTTGCTCGGATCTCGTCGTTGTTCGTCTACGTTCATGTGTCTTCGAATTGGATCTTTCTGATCTAAGGTATTCTTCATCTGCCGTTGTTGCTGTTCTGGTGCGCTGGTCCTATGGGGCCTTAGCACGACGACTTCCCAACAGTCTACTACAACGAGTTGTGCCCGACTCCGGCGATGGAGGGGTGATGACGGCGGCGTGCCTTTGGCTCGTTTGCGGTCTTCGCTAGGTGGTCTACGGATCGGGATGTAATTTTTTATTATTTCTGGTATTCGTTGTATTGCCATAGATCGGAAATTTTCTCGCAAAAAAAAACCTAGATGTCATTGACTTTTGATAAAATTTATGCCACCTCCGTCCGGAATTACTTGTCATAAATATAGATTTATGTTGACCTAAAATACATTTAGCTACATGCATTGCTCCAACAAGTAATTCTTAACTGAGGGAGTATGACTTATTCATTGGAAGAGAGGGAGTAGTTGAATAAATAGTAGTACGGTTCCTGGAATATAATACCTGATATCCTCTCATATGTTTTTGTTAGCCGTAGCTGACTACCATTTGCGTGAAGGAGCTAATCAAGCAATAGTGCACAAATTAATAATATATTGCATTTAAATTTATTAATTTATATATTAATAAATAAAAAATATTAACGTGCTAAGTAGTCAGACAATGCGAGCATCGGGGATGCCCCTACTTACAGGGTAATGTAGCTTGGCTCGGTATACAAGAACATCGATTGTCAAATCCTAAACCTCTTCCCATTAGTTGCCCTTTAATGAAATAAAAATGCCAATCTCAACTTGAGCACAAGAACAAGCCTGGCCAGAGGGCGAGACATAGTCTTCACCATCTCAAGAAAATATAAGAACAGCCATAATTTTGTAGCAAAATCATGGGCGGATACGGAATGAATGAAGATTTAGCGGACCTATATGAACAATGTGTTCCAGGGAAGTACTATGACTAATGATGGTTTACATATGAAAAAGCTAATCTAATATTATTATAAGAATTACTAATAATACTATTTTTGCGGGGTATTAATAATATTTAATCTACTTCATTATTTTTTCACCATACGGAATTTATTATTTCAGTTGTAGTTACATTATTAATCAGACAATATTGTATATTATACTTTTTTTGTGCCTTCGTCAAAATTGAATTGGTTATGTGGATGATTTACTTGAGTATGGGTCTGAGGCATATATTCCAGAATCCAAATTGCAGCTGGTTATAGGCTTTAGTGATCTAAACGCTCTTATATTTATTTATAGAGGGAGTACTTTACTATAATAATTACAAATTGTCTTTAAGCCTTCACACTATTCCATCTCATTAGATCTATATTAGCAATTAGTTTATCTAACCACGTCATACTCTTCATGCTCCTTCTCTTGACGGGCCATGCCGCGGTTCGCTCGTACGGTGGAGAGGGTGCCGGAGATCATGATACGATGAAGGTTAGTGTTTCGGTGGTGTGTTTGTTTGTCATTTATGTTGATTTGATGATTGGCAGGGCTCTGTGCACTTTGTTTCCAATTTTCATCATGTTTACCCTAATTAATTTCAACTTGGTGTCTCCTCTAATGATCGTACTCTTATACTACCAAATTAGTACATAGTTGAGTCACTTTGGACGGAGGGAGTACTCAACAGCTTGCAAGTAGTAGCAATTAAATTTTCGGTATTGTACAATATAAATGTATGCTATCAACAAATGGTAAAGTTGTGTCTATCATAGCTTCCACGGAACTTGTTAAGGTTTGCTAAGCTTTTACCGGTTTAAAAGTTATCAAAAAATATGAAAATAAATAGTGGAGCACCACTCTAATGTAATAAGATGATCCAACGGGGGGATTGCGAAAATATGAATTTATTTGTCCTTGGCGAAAAACAATCATTTCGTCTCGGTGCGACATAAATATACACTGAACTATTTGTTTTTTTATGTCTAGGACACATACAGTCGTATTTTTCCAATCGCAACATTGGATCAAGTTATATTATAAGTGCGTTGTTTCAGGATTATTTTTCAGAATTTTTAGGAATTTATAAACCATGGAAAACCTTAACTAGTTCTGTGGAAGATATAATAGAAAATTCTACTTCATCGGAATATATCATAAATCATTGTTCTTGTAATATAATATTTTCAAGAGACTGCAATACCATGTCTTGGAGCTGAGATTTCCTTGGTGCAGACACTTAATACTGTACACTGAAATGAATTCTCCATTGGCCCATGGAATAGACAACATCATCCTTCTGTGATTGCAAAAACTGGTAGTCTTATAGTGGTGAGTCGGTGACCAAAGGAAACTATCCATACATGCAATTATTTCTTTTCAAGGAGATGCACACATATTGCTCAATCCATTCTCTACACAGAAAAATGTTACTCATTAATTCTTATTACACACAGGAACGATATGGAGGAACTGGCTGGTGCCATCTCGTAAATTTATAGAGATGTACGTGAATAGAATGAACAATGATAAAGCATTCACCCATAGCTTACATGTGCATAACTTCCTTTGCTTAGTTTTCATCATCCTCACCTTCTTGCACCTACATGCAGCTATAAGGTTTTGAGTTGTGCTAGGAGGAAAGCACCAGAGTCGTAGCATGAGGCCTTCATGGTAGCATGTTCCTTTAAATCTTAGTCATGTCCTTTTCTGAGGTTCAACATGGTTTCCTTGGTTGCACTGTGGCCTTCGCTAGAGCATCTGATACAGCTCCATGGTTCATGTCGTCTCTCATTGCACATGGATCATTCCATCTCCACATGTTGCCTCGTCACACAAACCGATAATCCCTTCACGAGCCAGATCCGCGCGCTCTGCCGCCACCTCACGGCGGATAGCAGCTAGCTTGTCAACCGAGCATCCGGAGTGTGGTCGCAGAACGAAGACATCCTTTCTAGCCAGTTGCTTGATTGCATCGAAGCTTCTGCACATGGTGCCCATGGTCGGAAGCTTCTTGTTTTCCCTCACCTATTTTAGAAGTATTACGTGCAAATACACCCGGGATGACATGAACCTATTGTCGCTTGTATAAGCAAGAGCGCAGAGTACTCAGCAAATTGCATATAGAACAAGGAATGTGGGTAATTAATAGTATGTAGAGGCCGAGAGTAAAAATAATTTGAGAAGTAGTGGCCGATGGTGATGAAAACTTTCTTTTAGAATCAGGATGTAATATAGGCCGACAGGTCATACCATATAAGCATATTGTTCCCCAAACACATAAATACGGATCAACTTGTCAAAAAAATTCCCAACAAGATGTTGCAAGATACTACTCCCTCCGTCACTTAATATAAGAACGTTTTATGACACAACGCACTTATATTATGGGGCGGGCCGCGGGGGGAGTACAATGCTTGTGCTTCTAGGCGGAAGAAGCTTCTAAATTCACGTGCCTGCGACCTTCCTCCTTCCACGCGGTGTGCTGGAGCACACGGCAAGTCCATTTAGCGACTTTG